TGGCTGAAAGAGGGGGACTCCAACACGAAATTCTTCCATTCATATGTCAAAGGGAGGAGAGCAAAACTTAAAATATCCACCATAAGGGATGACATGGGGATCAATCATGACAATGAAGATCAAATTGGTAACCTGGCAGTAGAACACTTCACCAATCTCTTTGCTGATCATGCCATTTCAAATCCAGAAAGTATTACAACATACATTCCCACCACCATCACAGAACAAGACAACAATTTTATGAGGAGGCTACCTGAAGTAGAGGAAGTTAGGGAAGCAATATGGTCCCTTAATCCAGATGCTGCAGCTGGTCCGGATGGGTTTAATGGAAGATTCTTCAAAGAATGCTGGAACATAATCAAAGTGGATCTGCTTAGGGCATGCCAGGAATTTTTCCTGGGAATCAAAATCCCTGCTTTGTATGGAAGTACCCTCATAACTTTGGTCCCTAAAGGTGACAATCCAGTTAAATGGAAAGACTATAGACCTATTTCCCTGTCTACCTTCATGAGCAAGATTAACACTCGTATTCTAGCCAATCGACTTGGCTCATTACTACATAAAGTGATTGGTCCGGAACAAGCTGCTTTTCAAAAAGGGAAATCCATTGATGACCAAATCCTCTTGGCCCAAGAGATGGCTCATCAACTGGAACGCAAGGTTGAGGGGGGAAATATCATAATCAAACTTGACATGGCAAGTGCTTTTGATAGAATGAGTTGGCAGTACCTAGAATCAATGCTAAGGAAGATGGGTTTCAGCAACTTTGTCACAAGCTTACTGTTGAGCAACCTCCAAGCCACAATGATGTCCATCAACATAAATGGAAAGCCTAAGGGTTACTTCCCTATGAAGAGGGAAGTGAAACAAGGGGATCCTCTGTCCCCTCTTCTCTTTATTCTAGGAAGCGAAGGTTTAAGCAAGGCTCTTACACAGGGGATACATTCCAGGTTCCTCAAACCTTTTAACAGTGGACGGGGGCCAATCATCACTCACCTCTGTTATGCAGATGATCTGGTAATTTTCCTCAACGGTAACACCCGTAACCTTCTTCGCCTAATGTCCATTTTGAAAGAGTACCGCCTAGCCTCGGGTCAAGACATTAATTGGATGAAGAGCAGGTTCTTTGCGAGCTCCAAGACCCCCATCAGGAAATGCTTACAAATGGAGAAAGCTCTCCAAATTAGGTGTGGAAAACTCCCCTTCATTTACCTTGGATGGAACATCACTAAAGGTATCCTTAGAAAGGAGGGTTGCCAACCTATACTTCAACATTTTGACAAGTTTTTGTCCTCTTGGTACTCTAAGGTCCTTAACCCCATGGGCCGGTTGATTTTGATCAAACACGTACTCTCCTCCATTCCTCTACATCATATGGCAATTAGTGAGCTTCCAAAATCAATCATCAACACCCTCCACGCCAAGATGAAGAACTTCTTCTGGGGATACACCAACGGCAATGCCAAACATCACTGGAAATCCTGGGAATATATGTGCAAACCGAAGAAGGAAGGGGGACTTGGGATACACGACTTGCACCAGGTCCAAAAGGCCTACTCCCTAAAATTCATTTGGAAGATTAATCACGTGGAGAACTTTTGGACAAACTTTATGAAAGCCAAATACATTTCTAACAGGGCAGCTATAAAGGCGAATCTCCCGGACTCCCCAACGTGGAAAAGAATATGCAAAGCTCATGTATATTTAGAGGATGATGAATTTGGTAGCTCCCTGCCCCTCAACCTAACCATGAAGAATGCCTATGATCTGGTTTGTGACAATGGCCCTACTCTATTTTCATCTAAACACATTTGGAATAAGCTCCTTCCAACAAAAATCCAATTATTCCAGTGGAGATTGCTTAATAACTGCTGCAGCTTTCCAAACAACCTTCGTAGGCTTAAATACCACCTTCCATCCCAATGTGTATTTTGTCTACAATGCGAAGATCAGCAAGATCACACGCTGCTTGCATGCCCTGCCATTAATGGTATATGGAAAGATTTTGCAAAAAGGACGGATGGTCCTATATGGAAGGAGGGAGTAACCCTGCGACAGCACCTCCTCCAATGGTGGCTATCGTCAAATAAGAATGATTTCAGGGGTATCCTACGCTCTTGCATGCCGGGTTTCATCGTATGGGCTATTTGGAAGGCATACAGTGCATGCGTATATGGAGGTGAGAAGGCCTCGATTAGGAGTATTTACTATGCTATTATCAAATGGATTAGAAGATGGACCCACATGCACTCGGGACGTACGTGGTTAATGAAGTCAATAGGGATGGAGGACCTGGGTCTGTAACACCCCAACCCGCATGACCCAAACCCGTGAGACAGCGGACCGGTGTGCCACTAAATTGGTATTCGAATTTGCGACATTTTCAAAACAATTTTAAACAAACGTTCTTTCAATACATATGAAAATCCATCGGAGTAATTTAAAATAATGCGGAAGCCTTTTTAAAGTCAAACAACTTGGGATCTTGCCCGAAAACGTAATAAGCATTAAAGTTAATTAAATAAAGCATAATCAACAGATTAAAGAGACAGCCACGCCATCGTACATCTCCTCCTCAATGCCCTCTGGGATCGGCTCTAGGTTCATCTGTCTGATCACCTACGGACAGCAAAAGAAAACAACGCTATCCGCTCAGCATTGACGCTGAGTGGTACTCCATTGTAGCACAAGAATAAACATAATAATTCAACAATTAAGATCGTGCATAAGTTTATCCTTTTAATAAAAATCAATTCAACTTAACATTCGGTTCTTTAGACAGTTGACCAATAGTCAACTTATTTTCTTTCTTTTCAAAACGATTTAGGTGTTACGGGTTTCCCATGACTCTTTGACCACCGGTCAAA